TTGAGAAATTTAAAACCAATAAATTTTCCAAACATGCACGATTTTGCTGTCAGTTATTGTAGATTTGGCTTGAAATATGTTTATCTACCTTCATTAATCCTATCAACATTTCTGGGATTTAGATAAATAGTTTGTACAATACCGATAATAATATTTACCAAGTGGAGAAAACCTTCTTCAGTAATGAATTGTTGAAAGTAGTAAAAAAGTTCTGAGACTGATAGAATTTTTATCAATTAATGGTTTAACCCTTTACTTACGGTTGGTACAATAAGTGGACGAGCTGCTGAAGGTAGTAAAAAAAAAGAAAGAAAAATCTGAGACTGATGCAATTTTTATCAAATAATGGTGTTAAGGTTTAACTAAACCCTTTAAAGTGTGTAAAAACAATCGATTAGGTATTTATTTGAAATAAAGTAATCATTCACACAATTTTTAAAGTTTTTCGACACCAAATTCGGACAGATATCATACCACAGTTATTACAGTTTTGGTTCTATACCACTTTGGTGTAAAGCAGTTGCCAGTAATTTTGGTTTAATGATACACTAAATTTTTTTACAGAGAAGAGAATTGAAGAAATCGTATAAATCGTTCATAAAAAATTCGCGTCTCACTACATCCATTTTCGTAAATAAAAGGCAGAATACAAAATGCACTGAATGGCCTTAAATTATGAGAAATATGTACCTCCTGCCGTGCAAAATTGTATATAAAAAATTAAGTAATTTTTTTTATACAATTTGCGTGAAAAGCCATTTTGAATGCAATACTCTAATTAATTTTCTTCAACGACATTTGTAAATCGTGAAGTTAATCTTTCCTTTCTTCTGTCTTTGCCTTTCGGTCATTATTTTTTTTTCAAGAATTCACTACATTCTGCTACTGCTTTCATTTTTGTAACTGTTATAGTTTGAATTTGTAGTTAACGCATCATTTTAACGAACGGGAGAAACTGTATGTCTTAAAAACTTGGCCAAAGGATACTCTGTCAAGCTTGAAAATATAGCTCGTATGGTGCAAATTATGAATCTAATTTTTAAAATGTCCCTTGTATCATTACGATTTAGTATTATCTTAGACGAAAAACTTGCGTCATTTGATTGCAGATTTTATAAGAAATAGCAGTTTGCATTCAAATTGCATAGCATCATTTTAAAGAACAACATCAGTAGAAAAAAAATATGTACATCCTAAAATTGAAGTTTTTAAAGTGCTGTAAAATTGAGTAATTACTTTCTAAAATTTCCTTGCATGGCTAGTAACTTTTTTACGTAAGTTTTTTAAACTTTTTATAAAAAATACGAACTAGATACTAGGATACGAAGTGCCTGACACGATTCTTTTTGCTGATGAAAAACTGTAAAATTACTTTTAATGGAGTCTCTTATATCATTGAAATACTATCTTTTTTTCCCGAAGAACTTACAATGTTTAGTGGCCTCTTTTGTAAAAAAGGTACATTACTAATGCACTTGATGTACCATTTTAAAAAACGATGTTCGTAAAAAATATTTATTTCCGATGAATATACACCCTTGTGCAAATTAATTGAAACAAACTCAATAAATTCAGAAAACTAAGAGAAAATGCTATTTTATTGAAATTTATACAAACTCAAAATTTTTTAGTACATAATATGATCTCCACGACACTTTATTAACATTTGGACACGATTCGGCATGGATTTCACTAATTTTTTACAGTCATTTATAATATCTGTGTCCTTGTACCACACATGAATTAACGCCGTGATTATCTTCTCCATATTGTACAGTCCATATTTAATAGGCGATTCTTGCATATGGCCCAGAGATTCTCAATTGGGTTGATATCCGGAGAGTTCCCTGGCCATACCAATGTCTCAATTTGATTCTCAGACATGAATTTCTTGACACTTTTGGACGTATGGCAAGGAGCTAAATCCTGTTGAAAAATCCCTGTTCCATCAGGGTATCGTTTCTTCAACTCTGGAACAACTTTTTTACCCAGAATAGTAATGTACTTCTCAGAACGCATCATACCGTCAATAGGCAGCAAAGGTCCGATCCCATTGTAACCGAAACAACCCCAAAACATCTTCTTTAAAAAACACGAAAAAAAAGTTTGTTTCAATTAATTTGCACAAGGGTGTAGGTTCTGTTGCGCAAAATTTTGAAACTAATTTCTGATTTGTCCCGTCTTTCATTACAATTTAGTTAGTGTTTCATAAAGAATTAGGGTTATTATTATTATGACCCTATTGTTTTCGTAGAAGGAATTTAATTGAATAAGAAAATGGATAGTGCATATCTTTTGGCTAACACCCCTGACAGCCAATCAAATGGTCTGTTTCAGCCCTTTAAATCTATTCCAGCCCTTCCGCATAATCAGTATGTTATCATAAATGACCGAAACCAAGAGAATGTCGACTTTCACCGATGAATGTCAACATTCACATAGTCGCTTTGGTGAACGTCCGAAATAATTGTTATAACCAATTTAATACCAATTACTCGTTGACATTATTATATTTATTTGATATTTTAATATCTGCTGAGGATAGATTAGGAGAAACATCAGTATTCGGAGTACCGAGCAAATGTATTCCGGATAGTGGCACTTAACTTTAAAAAATCATTAGTGTAGGGTATACCGGTCAAATGCATACCTAGTAGTGGCACTTAACTAGACCTAGTATCAGACATTTACCAAAACGGCTATGCGATTGTCAGCATTCAAAAGTGAAAGTCAACAACCACCAATTTTGATCATTCACAGTATATAACAACGTTTTAAAGAACGACATTCATAAAAAATAGGTGTTGTAAAAATTAAATATTCTGTTGTGCAAAATTGTGAAATTTCTCTTATAAAGTGTTCCTTCTTGCATCATTAAGGATTTTTAATTTTATTTTAAAGTATTCGTCATATTACCTTCTATTTTTATAAAAAAAAGTTACAATGTTAAAATTTTAGTGCACTATTTTCCGGTTGTACGAAATGTTTTTTTACATTTGGCTCAGATGTACGATATTGTGAAATTAATTTCTCAACTTTTCCTTGTTTCAATAAAATTTATTTGTCTTTCTTTAAAATCTGCGAGCTCTGAACTTTTACAAAATGTTATCGTTTGAATGCATCTTTTTAAAGAATGACATTCAGAAATGCGTATTTGTCTTCAAATTAGAAGCCGCGAAGATAAGTTGAGAAGTTACTTTCTAAAGTGCCCTTCGTATCTTTACATTTTGGTCCACCTTTCCCGTCATTTGACTGTCATTTTGTAAAAAATTGCAATTCAACTACAAGGCGAACACGAGTTTAATAAACGACAATCGTATACAGATGTCTTAAAATCTACGTTTCGCAGCATAAAATTATTACACTAGTTTCATTTGTTCATCCTATTTGTGAAAAGTGCCTGTTAGAATAGAATATGCAAGGAGCCATTTTAAACAACGACATTATTAGAAAATATTTTTGTTAAATGCATAGTTTTTGCATTGAAAGTTCATGAAACAAATTACTTCAGTGTTTTTTCAATCAATACACTTTAGTCATTTTATTAAAGATATTAGATTACATTTGGTTTTGTAAAAAGTTTCAATTTGGATGCACCGGTTTAAAGAGCGGTATTTTTTTCAAAAAAAGTATATTTATGTTCTATGAATATAGGTCTTGCGGCACCTGGATATAAAAATGCACCCTGTATTTAAAAATTTTTTTCTTTTTCCCACGAAAAATTCTCCTAATTTGACAGCGATTTTTATTAGAAATTACAGTTCGAACAAATTTTAAGTGATTAAAATGTAAATGTTTACGAAATCATAGGCAACTACGAAATTAAGGATCTAGCAACACATATTATGTTTTGTAAATATGTTTTTCTCTACTCATGCCTTCTTGGAATTGATAAATTAAAAATTTAATATTCATTAAGTAAATTAAAATATTTAAATAAGTTAAACACTTAGAAAAGACAAAAGAGTTTGAGTAAGCTTTAAAAACTTTGGAATAACGCACATTAAAAAAAAAATCCTGATAATAATACGGTAAAAAGTATCGGCACTTTGGGTACATCCCTCGTAAAATCCATTTTCACCGTAATTCTTACAGTAATATTTATTTAATTAGAGTGATTCAAGGATTTTACGATGATTATTACTATATAAAGTACGGTATATCAGATTTTCTGTTCCGTAACTTGTTTCGGTAAAAAAAATATTTTTTGGGTACCAGCCATCTGAGTGTCGGTACTTTTTACCATAATTTGATCCGGAATTTTTTACATTTCATATTATACTTTGTAAATAGGTTTTTCTCTACACTTATGTATTTATCTGTCGATAAATCAAACATTTAATTCATACCTGTTAATTAAAAAGATATTTAAATAAATCAAATGTAAGTCTCAAAACGTTTTAACTTAGGTTTTGAAATTTGTCACACAATTTAATACAAATGACCTTTTTGAAGAATTAGCATATTTTAAGCTAATTGCTGTTGCCTACCCCTTCATTCTAAACAATAGTTCATTCTCAAATCTGTATACTAGTGAACGTTTTTGTATTTTTAATGACCTCGTTTGCTCTGTATTTTACTAGATTTCTAGACATAACATTAAAGATCATAACTCGAGATGCTATAACAATGAGAGCGAAAACTCTTAATAACATATGTAAATTAAATGTGAAAAATGTTTTTGTTTCTGGACGACTTTTTAGTTTTTTTGGAAAACAGCGATGAAAAGATTTTAACGAATCTGGTTTTTTCTCGTTCTTTTTTCCAAATAATGTAAACATACGATTAACTCAGCTCTTTCAACCACCTCCGGTCAAATTGCTTTAGAAGAAAGCTATGTAAAAATAATAACGGAAGAGCGCTATTCACAAAACAACTTTTTAATTTGATAACTGTAGTAATTTTAAATAAGGCTTCACAAGAAAATAGCATAAATAAAACAATAATATTTTAATTCGAAATTTTAAATTAAATAAAGATTCTATAGTCACGTGGCGTTTGTCACATGTCTTAAACCATATTTTCTGAGTATATATAATGGTCAAATTTAAGTTTGCTCATCAGTTAAACCATCTCTCTTCAGCGAGTGTTTCACAGTTTTCTAGAAAGTTCTTAGGATACTGCTCAGTTCTCAAACATGTATCTACTTAAGGTAACAAACAATTTTTTATTCTCATTTTTCGTAATAAAATTTTGGTTCTCAATTTTTGTAATTCAGTTAAGAAATGTTTTTAGTATGTATCGATCTTCACATGCATACCGTTAAATTATTTAAAAAACTAATAGGCCACTAATACATTTTTCAGGTATTTTAATAGCTATTTTATCTATGATTGAGTTTGTTTTCAAATAATTTCTATGAATATTCTTATTAAAATCAGCAAAGTCTCACTTTCGTCATTTTATAGTAGTTTTATATAAATGTATTAATATTAATTGCGAATTTTGTCTAGGCAATGATTGAACTGCATATCTCTTGAGCTGCTTGAAATTCAAAATCTTAGAAGTTGAGAAGGAATGTTCCTGGCTTTCGAATTTTTTTTTTATCATCTCCAATTTTTATTGAAGAAACTGAAATACTTCAACCAGCAAAACCAAACTTTTAATTATGTTGTTTCAACATTTTATAAAAACAATTGCAATTTTTTTGTTATAAATAACAGTAAATAATTGTTATAAATTCGAATTCATGTTTTAATAATTAAAAAAGTAAAAAATTTTAAAGAAAACATTTAAACACTTTGAATATTAAATATTTTAAAAATATTGCAACTTTGAAAATAGTTTTTGTATTTATTTATTTCTTAAATTCATCGATTTTAACCAGCATATTTCTTGTGTAAGAACTATACATACTTAATGCGTCGCAAATAGATAATACGATTATATTTTAGTTCAGTGTAAAATTAAACATTTTAATAAGCATAATCTATCGAACTGTATCACTACATTAAGGCCTGAACTCACTAATTCAAATTTCAAACAATGTTGGTACTTTTTCATAATTTATGAAAAGCACCTTGCAATCAGCTTTAACGTTTTCTAAGAATATATATAGATTTTAATTTGAACCAGATTAATTTTTTTTTGTGCTGAAAATTATTCATATTTATTATGCAATATATAATGTGACTACCCCTTAGTTTAATAGCAATTGAATGAACTTACATAAAGATCTAAATTGCATCAAGTGCTAAAATTTAAAGCTATATTTAGATCTTACCTGTTTTGGATATCAAGAATTAAACTGATTCACTACATTAAATTCTAAGCTTACTAAATCAAATTTTTAACCAGTCTTAGTATTTTAATGTTGTCTCATATGAGTTCCTAGAAGGAGTATAATGAAGTTTCAAGTATTTTTTTAGAAAGATTTCCATTTTAAACTGCGTATCTCTTTATGCAGACTTGCCAACTTTTACTCTTTCTGAGAAAATATTTCCCAGCGGAGGTGAAATATAACTAAAACCAGAGTTTCCACAGGTGACTAAAAATACAAAATGTAGTAACTAATAAAATTAAAAATTTTATTAAGCAAGATTAAAAGTAGCATTTTTTTTTCAATGTACTATTGAAATATAAAGAATGTTTTTTCTTCAAATATGAATAATTTGAAATGTAAGTAATAATGGTAGTTACGATTGAATATTTAAAAACGTTATAAATTAATAAAAGTGAATCTAGTTTCTTTCCAACTTCTTGCATTTTTAGTGGTATGGCTGTAAATGAAATATAAGCGTAGATAAAATTAATTTTTTACAATTGCTTAAAATAAACTTATCGCAATTTCGAGCTTACACTCATTTTCGTTTCTATAACGTGTTCATATATAAGATTGATTTATTTATATTTATTGGTAGTCAAAATCATATGGAATTAAATTTTAAAATCCAAGAATTGAAAAGAAATTTATGAGATTCATTACGACTTCAAATATAAAAACAAAATTCTACGGAGAATCAGCAGTTTTTGGCGGCTATGCTTTTATGTTAAAGTTATTCATTGTCATATGGTACAAAATACATCAAGTTGAAAAAAATCAAATATACTGCAGATTGAATGACCTCATTTCAAAATATAACTGTATCTATCTGTAATAATAAACTGTATCTACCATCAAACTGTGCCACAGTATCAAGATTTAAATTCGCTGAAATTCGAGCAATTGATGATTAGCAATTTGATGATGATGAAGCAATTTGATGATTTGGCCTCGTGTTTTTCTAAAAAGGTGTACCGATTTTAATTAGCATATAGTTTCGATTTTAATCTGCATTTATTAAACTAATCCTGGAAAAATACGCCATAAATAGTTTTTACAGTTTTTGAGGCATAATATGTAAATATGTCTAAACTTTTTCGTTATTAGTCCACTCTTTTGCAGAAATTAACGCCTTAAAGAAGAAAAGTCAACACTTTTCACTAAATTGTTATTTAAAATGAAAAGTATAGTTATATCAGCTGTAATATTTTCAGTAAGCATCAAACTTTTTCTTAAATATTTTTTTCGTTTATTATTAATAATAATAATAATTTTCAAAAAATATTTTAAATAATCGAATAGTATCTTAATTCCATACATACCTTCTATCAAAAAGTCTTAAAATGTGTTAAAATATTCATGCATTACTGTACTTTTTATTTTGTAATGTATTTTTCAATCGAATTACTTACAATAGGAATGTAAGCCACTTATTCTTTTTTTCTTTAACTATTTTTCCTAGAGAAATCTGAAAATGACTCAAACAGTTATAGTTCAGTAAAACAACACTTTTTCTTTAGAAAACCTAATACCGAAGGTTTTTATTATAGTGAGCTTGATTATAGATTTATAAATCAAAACTGAAAACTCCCCTAATTTCCTTTATACGACACCCCTTTTTTTTTAAGAATATGAGAGTGATTTGAGAGGAGAGGTTGATATTTCTTCTAGAGAAGCAAGTGAAGTTCTGTTTTTAATATAATTTTTCTCTCTGAATTGAATGAAACATTTCTAAAATGATCTCAGTTTAGAAGTAATAAGAATTTTATAAACAAAAAGAACAATTTTCTGCGGGAAAGAAACGGAGACACAGTGTATTTATATTTAATATATTTTTAAAATAGAGTACAACACAAATAAAAGTATAAAAACTTGGGTAATAAATAGGAACTAGGTGAGATGAGCTAGTGTTACGTATCCAGTTCACTAATTGTTGTTTAATTTATTATGTTCGTTAATTTTATTTCAATAAATAAACATTTGAAATGAGTTTATAAATTTTATTATGTAAAAAATGTATAGAAAACATTTGTTTTTAATTTATTTTTTTCCAAAATTCAAGAGTTTTTTTTTTCTGAATTAGTCAAATTTAGTTTATTGAAGGCCAATGTAGAATTATCATCTTCTGTGTACTCTTTTGTCTGAAAATGAAGAGTATATCTTTCTTTGTTTAAAACTTTAAAGCAAATTAAAGTCGTTTTCTACGGATTATTAGTTTATTCCGACATCTTATGCAATTGCTTCTTTATTGTTAATCCGTCTCACTGTGGATCGGTTGCAGCGCTTCGCTCTGTCGGATTGAGAAGCGATCTAAAAAGCATAGTGCATGCCACTTTTGACAACAAACACGACTTCGTGTCCCCCAATACTCATAAAACATATTCAAGATATTAAAGACTAAAAGGTATTAAAGTATGAAATGTAGGGTTTTAAGCAAGACTAAGATGAAAAGATTGAGCGACGGTTCGCTAAGTGATCAGAAATAATTCGCATGAGCAATTACCGGAGTTGAGACAGGATGTGAGAGAGGAACAAAACCTATAAGCTATAAAAATACTAAATAAACCTGCTTTTTGACAGTTCGATAAAAATGTCAGTGAATACTAGCGTCAAAATGACACATGTTCCGCGTTTGCCAAGTAATTTTGTCACAACTTACAAATATTTTTTTTCTTTCATTTTTATGTCCAAGTCTAAATCTGGAAATTTATCATCATCTTTTTTTATATTAGGTTTCACTGACCATTTTGCTAGCGCTAAGCTATGTTAGTGCAAGAGGTGGACCTGGCCTTGGAGCAGGTGGTCTTGGAAGTGGACTAGGTGGAGGAGCCGGAGGACTTGGTGGAGGTTACGGTGGCTCTGGAGGACTTGGAGGAGGTGCTGGTGGCGTTGGAGGAGTATATAGAGGCGCTGGTGGCATTGGGGGAGGCTATGGAGGTGCAGGAGGAATGGGAGGAGGATTTGGTGGTATTGGGGGCTCATATGGTGGAGGAGCTGATGAAACTGTAAGTATATAATCGAAATGTAGTAATATTGCCAGAATCAAATGTGCATTTCAGTATATTTCTTTATGATTAGGTAGGTAGTAATTTTATTTACGTCGCACTAGAGCTGCTCAATGAGCTGTTTGGGAAACATCCCCGAGGATGATCCGAAGACATGCTATCACAATTCTGATCCTCTGTAGAGGGGATGGCTCATCCACTTTGGGAGCCGGACAACCTGCATGCAAAGTCGAGCACTTCACAGTAGAACAGTTTTACGAGGACCTCGGTCCCTATGTATGCTTATCAAAGTGATCACCCAGCCGCTTACTGACCACAGCCAGTGATGCTTGACTTCGGTGTTCTACTGGGAACCATGTCTTTACGATCAGTCCACTGCGGGACCGTTTGTTTCTGAAATTGCGAAGAAGCATCTCATTTTAATGTTTCGTGATATTAACGAGAGAAAATTTTAATTAACGAAAATTATGATTTTTGTATTTCGCCAACTTTCATAAATCGTTTACAAATTAACCCGCAATCGAACAAATCTTGAAAATTTTTATAATTTGAATTCTGCTTCAAATAAAAGGCAATTTTTTAACAAAAATTATTTTGAATAATGCTTTGCTGCATTTTTTTAAAAAATAAATTAAATGAGGTGAGTTTGTGAACATCACAACTAATAAAGCGATATTAGGTCGAGAGTTAATAACAATTGCTGTTGCAAAATTGTTTCGATAATACTCATAGTAGCAACTTTTTTTTCTTGTAGTCATTTGACATTAGTTTTTTTAATGTTTAGAAAATGATTGAATTAATTGTTTTTTTTTTCATGACTCAATTATTTTGATTATAACTCGAATTATTTGGATTAAAAATATTACGCTTGGGAACATTAAAGAAGCTCGTCGACACATTGAGCAAGTTTTCACCAAGTATTAAAAATTTAAAATGTTATAAATTTTATTACGCTCAATATGGAGACACATTTTTTGCATGTTAGGCTATTTAAGCATAAAATCCCTTATGATGTTCCAAAAATGATTCTATTTGCTTAACAATGGTGTACTTTTAGAAGTATGACTTGGTCCAAAACTTGCAGAACTATAAATTTCTCTTATTTTCAGCCGAAACCATTCCAATTCAGTTACAGTAACAAAGATGAACAAGGCAACATCAACATGCGATCTGAACAAGGTGACGGGAGTGGTGCAGTTCAGGGATCATATGGATACAGAGATGGTCAAGGATTGTTCAGAGAAGTTCAGTACACTGCCGGAGCTGGTGGTTTTCAAGCTGTTGTTAAGACAAATGAACCAGGTACTTCTGACAAACCTGAAAACCCTGCTGATATAATTATGCAAGTGCAGCAGACACCGGCTGGAATCAAAGAACGATATAATCCCAGATCTGGAGCTGGTGGACAAAGAGGTATATTTACGCATAATATTTGAATGATGCATATAGTATGTTTGAAAGCATATTTACTCTTTAAATTTAAAGTGTATTTACTGGCCGAGATAGCCTGGTTGGCAGGAGGCTGGACTCACGTTCGTGAGAATATGAGTTTGAATCCAGTAGGTGGTAGAATCCTCATGTACTAAATGGTTACTCCTGCACGTTAAGCTTGTCGGGTTAAAAAGTCGTCTATGTTACTATTACAAATTTTATCTCTGAGGGTACTGAATTGGAGATTGATCATTCTTTGGTTCAGGTCAAAATTACGGTCTGTGAATGAATGGATGTGGAAATGGGGTTCAGCCTATAAAACGAGTGGGACAGAAGTCGAATTCTTGGACATAGATGGCGCCACTGGAAAATAATAGCAATCTTACTCCCTCTACCTCAAGGAATGACAACAACAACAGCAAGGTATATTAACTAAGAATACTTAAAAGAATAAATTTTTTCATCGCTAGAATATATAATAGAAATCACAATTGCGTTATCTTTTATTTTAGAAACTGATCATTTTTTGCCAGTGAGTCGGATAAGTGCAGCTTTTTGAGCTGGAATTATTCTTAAACGATTAGTTTGTATGCTAAGCTTTAAAGTTTCAATTAAAAAAATTATGTTCCATAACTCATAATGCCAAAATATAGCTATATGTTATATAACTCATATTGCCAAAATATAACTATATGTTCTTGAACTCATATTGCCAAAATATAACTATATGTTCTTGAACTCATATTGCCAAAATAATTATAGGTGTAAGTGGAAGAGGAGCTTATGGTGGTGCTGGTGGCAGAGGTAGTTTCGGTGGTATTGGAGGAGGAGCTGGAGGACTCGGAGGTGGACTTGGTGGTATCAGAGGAGGGGCTGGAGGACTCGGACGTGGACTTGGTGGTGGAGCATATGGTGGTGCTGGAGGTCTCGGAGGTGGACTTGGTGGAGGAGCATATGGTGGCGCTGGAGGTCTTGGAGCTGGACTTGGTGGTGGAGCTGGAGGACTCGGAGGTATCGGAGGAACTGCTGGTGGTCTTGAAGGTATGGGAGGATCTGCTGGTGGTTACGGAGCTGGCAATATGAAAGGGTCTCCTTTAGGTAGTCGAGGAGGTTCTGCTGGCCTCGGAGGAGCTTCAGGTGGATATGGAAGCTCTGCTGGTCTCGGAGGAGCTTCAGGTGGATATGGAGGTTCTTCTGGCCTCGGAGGTGCTTCAGGTGGATATGGAGGTCCTTCTGGTCTTGGAGGAGCTTCTGGTGGATATGGAGGTTCTTCAGTGGGCCAAGGAAAAAAATCTGGAAAAAGTGGATATTAAACATATGTTAGCAATATTTTTGATTACAAAATGCATCATGGCATTATGAACTTTACCTCGTATAGGATCTTGCCAAACTAATTGACCAAGAGGTTTGGCAAAAGCAAGCGTCCCGATGCCGTTAAAATCAGGACAATGCTTTATGGATTATTTTCTCTCTATTGCATGTGATTCTCTTATATTTTTTTAGTTGTTAAATATTGTTATGTGTTTAGAAAGAATGGGTGACGGATTTTATCTATATCTTACATTTTGCATTCAGTATTTCGTAGCAAGAAAGGAAATTTGCTAATATTGTATTTTTTAAATCTATGCATAATAATAAGTTATACAGTTTCCAAATCCCTCGACATGTATCTTCAGACGCACAAAAAATTTATATTTTTTTTATAGAAACGGATGCATGTTTTGACAAGAGTAATTAATAATAGTTTTAAATAATAGTTATTCAAAGAACTCAGATTGAAGATTTAAATATTATTCACCTTGTACGATACCTAAAGCAACCTATCCAATAAAATTAATTGAAGATAAATTATTTCGTAATATTTTTTTCAGGGAGTTAATGTGTTCTCAATGTTTATTTTTTTAAATTTGTGTTACCAAAGAAGTTTTGGGATATTCTAGCTTGTTTGCGTGTAATGCATGCTCTGTGTTATTGTGTTATTTTGTATAATATATGTTTTTAGCAATAAAAAATTGAACATTACTCTAATTTTGTTTCTCTTTTAATTTATTCGATTCAGAGTTTTTTTCTTTATCAAGTCATATGCAACATTATTCAAAATGAAAGTGTTTATGATTACCATTTCACTACATTTGACCATTCCATTTGTATTCCAAAAAAGATTAAGCCAATTTCATGCATCCAAACTAACTAAAAATTTAGTTAGTTAAAAACTTAAAATTTAATTAGAAATTGCCTTGTATCAAATTTGAATAAATAAAAATAATTTTATAAATGTTTATAAAAATTATTAAACATATAATAAACTTTAAATTCAGATTATCCTGCATTGGATTAAGAATTGAAGAACTCGATCTGCATTCAAATTATCAAAATCACTGCCTTATTTTCAGTTTTTGCAAATTCTTATGAGACCAGGTAATGCAGCATAGGAATAAGTTTTTAAATGTTAAAAATTAGACCACAAACGCTTTTCATTTTTACAAAACTGCAGTTTTTCTTCATATTGGCGTTTCACAATAACAGTCACGTGTAACAGTTGTAAATTCACAGAAGAAAATTCGCACTAAAAAAGAAGAATGATTATTAATATTCATATGCATTAGTAAACATGTACTTGAGTAAATACATTGTGTTTTTGCACACATAATTAATATTAATTAACTAAATATCAACACATTTAACGTCAACAGTTAAAACTGTATGTAAGTTTCCAGTGCAAAAGCTTAAAAATTATTTTCAAACGACATTTTACAAGAAAACTAAACAAAAATGAACTTTCTGAAGAAAAAAAACAAAATAAAACTTTCAGTTTATTTCAGCTATTTTCAAATTGGTGAAGGTTACAATTTGTTGAATGGATATTTAAAAAATAAAATCGCGTGATCATTTGCTAAATATTTGCTTATTTTTTATTAATTTCGATAAAAACTTTCATTATCTTATCTTAAGAATCTGATGACAAAGCCACAATTGCAACAGTTCTTAAAAAATACGTATAAATTTAAAATTTAGAATGATGATTGTAATTTGTTTAGACACTGTTTCAACTTTAGAACGCCAAGAACGAAAATTTTATCTAAGTATATAAGCAGTAGTACTTAAAGCACTGAGATGCTATACACTCTGCTCGCTTTGATCACCAACCAATATTGATTGCTTCATCGTTGTCTTTCCCTGCAACGTTTATATATTTATTTTACTAAATTAAAAGAACAATTTGTTTCTGGAAAACACATTTCATGTAAATAAATTTTTTTAATGCATTAACGAAACGAAAACGTAATAAAAAATTTAGAGAAATTTGAGAGAAAATCAACTGCACCAGTAAAACAAAGTTAATACTTGGAAATTAAAAATGTATTCCTGTCTTTTTTTTTCAAAAAAAAAAGAAGAAGACTGTTGAAACCTGGCAAACGATGACAGTGTAATGATAGCTTCGAACATCTATCCAAAGAAATTAGCAAAGCTCACTTAGGAAGANGCATTTCGATAATAGTTTTAAATTCTTGTAAATTCGCTGCAAAAACTGAGGAAAGTCATTATAGAAAATAACATATGTCTTAGAATATGTCGCAAAAAGAAATGCTCCAATATTAGTTAGAGCTAGTAAGGCCGAAAGCTCCGTTCTGGAAGTAAAAGTGCGAGCTTTGCGCCAAAGCGACGTCACTGGAAAAAATCGGAGGATTGGCGCGGCGAGAGCTACTTCAAAGGAGTGAACCAGCCCTTCTATTCTCGTTAGCCCTGAGAAAATTCGCACTAAAAAATAAGAATGATTATTAATATGCATATTAATATGCATATTCATATTCATTAGTAAACATGTACTTGAATAAATACATTGTGTGTTTGCTCACATAATTAATATTAATTAATTTAATATCAACACATTTAACGTCAACAGTTAAAACTGCAGGTAAGTTTCCATTGCAAAAGCTTAAAAAAAACGACGTTTTACAAGAAAACTAAACAAAAATGAACTTTCTGAAAAAAAAAATGAAACTTTCATTTTATTTCAGCTATTTTCAAAAATTGGTGAAGGTTACAATTTGTTGAATGGATATTCAAAAAATAAAATCGTGTGATCATTTGCTAAATATTTGCTTAATTTTTATTAACTTCGATAAAAACTTTCATTATCTTATTAATGAATCTGATGACAAAGCCAAAATTGCATCAGTTCTTAAAAAAGACATATAAATTTAAAATTTAGAATTATGATTGTAACTTGTTTAGACTGTGTTTCAACTTTAAAGCGCCAAGAACGAATAGTTTATCTAAGTATATAAGCAGTAGTACTTAAAGCACTAAGATGCTCTACACTCTGCTCACTTTGATCACCAACCAATATTGATTGCTTCATCGCTGTCTTTCCCTGCAGCTTTTATATATTTATTTTACTAAATTCAAAGAACAATTTGTTTCTGGAAAACACATTTCTTCTAAATACATTTTTTAATGCATTAACAAAACGAAAACGTAATAAAAAATTAAGAGAAATTTGAGAGAAAATCAACTGCACCAGTAAAACAAAATTAAAACTTGGAAATTTAAAATGTGTTTCTGTCTTTTTTTTTCTAAAAAAAAAAAGAAAGAAAAAGACGGTTGAAACCTGGCAAACGATGATAATGTTGTGATAACTTCGAACATCTAACCAGAGAAATTAGCAAAGCTCACTTGGGAAAAAATACCTTTTATAAACTGTCTGGTTATTTTTGAGACTAGTTATCCCTCATATAACATGAAAAAACTCATTTTGATAGGAGGAGAATGCAGGTCGAAACATGCAGTTGCAGGTTACGTGCGTGATAGTCAAAAATAAAATATGTGAAATAATTACTAAACGTTTGCGAATTTTTCATCTTTCGAATACAATGCAATTGAGAAAAATGGCAGTTGTTTTCGGTTCTTGGCGTAAACTTTTTACTGATTGTTTTAGATTTAAAAATAGCTTTAAAAATTCGACTTATCGTTTTTTTTTTCAGAAATATCGAGCGAAAATTATTCATTTCGGGATCCTTTTAGTCTGATTTTGAAAGCAGGCTACAAAAAAGGAAAATCAAAAATTCAATTACGTATAAAAAATGGAGTAAAGAATGTTTGTACTGCTGTAAGTAGCTGTTCTATTTAACGTTGATATAAATTGTAAGTGTCCAGTCATCTTTTAAAATAGTAAAATTATAAGAGAACTAACACAGTTAAAAAATTAGAATAACTAATTTTTCACTATTGTACATGAATTATTTTTAAACTTATTTATTTTGAAGTAATGCTCTTGTGCCATCGAAATATTATGTACTAATACTTTTTTTTACTATAATTAATGACTATAAAATATATGTATGTATTAAATGAATGTACAGCTGCACTGTTTTTTTTATTTCGAGGCGCATGTAATTTAATTATGCTATAAAAATATAAATTCCTCTTACTTATATACTAAATAATAAACAACATTATGAATAATGTACCGAATGCTGTTTTTTTCTTTATTTATAGAGTTTTATAATTTTTTGATGTGTGTGTATATCTATTGAAGGAATTTTTTTTATGTTGATTCAAATAAATAATGCTATGTCCATCATAATGCTCGCTTTTTGTTTGCTTAAATAAACACCGAGAGCTATAAAATGCTTTGAAAACGTTTTTTTGAAATGCTTCTAATTTAAACGGGAAAACAAAATGGTCGCAATTCGTATTTTAACCCTAACCATGCTGTTTTCAGCCCTGCTAGCTGTTGAAATTGTTAATAAACTTGTTGTTACTGAATCTGAAGTTGAATTAATAGTTGAAAAAACAAAAGCGACAACTGAGTTTTTGGTAAGCATTGGCCCCTTTGGAGTTTACTTCTTAAGCGTGACGGTGGTGAAACATATTTTTGAAAAGGTATTCGTTGTCAAAATTTCAGAGGAAGATGTTGGTGAAGTGTTCTATAAGAATGCATTAAATTTCGGAAAAGAGATGGGTTTGGAACATGCTGAATACATTGCTGAAGATATTGCAAATGCAGCTGAAAAAGCTTTCCAGAATAATATTTCTCCTCTAGAATACTTCCGTGCTGTTTCTGATACGTTGAAACGCAGTTTGAAGAAACAAGGACTTCTGGAGCAGGGTAATGGTAAAGACTTGATTGACGCTTATGCAAATTCATTAGAAAATGCTGCGAATTCTGAAAATAGTATGGATCCTGGAGCTCCAGTTCAAGCCTTAGCAACTGGGACAGCAGACTTCTTGAAATCAAAGGGAATAAGTTCATCCAAGGACGTTGAATTTGCAGGAAAAGCATTTGCTAATGAATTAAGGAAACAAGCAGGTAACCGTTTTATTTTATTTATTACTCATAGTCTCCTATATAGGTTGGTTTTAAATAAATATACTGGATTGGACCATCAGAGAGTTCTTGGTTGACGAATTTTGATGGACTTGAAATACACGTGAGCTGAACATGATGGTCATTAAGATACAGTTTTTTTAAAAATCGTGTCAAACAGGCAAGATTGGAAATTTGACTTTTTTGTAATTTTCAGGCTATGTTCTTTAAATAAGACTATAAGACGCGTATTTTTTTTATTTCATGAAAATATTTTATCTCCGATTTAGGGTGTGTATGTGTGTGGGGGGGGGGTCAAAAGTAAATATCCTCTGCAATTGTGAGAAAAACACATCCATTTACATGCGATAATACTCTTTGAGAATTAATTGATTATTGTGTTATACTACTTCTATACCAACCATTAAGATATATGAATACTTTCATCAAAGGTCAAAAGTCATTAAAAATTGTTTTGAAATAAGACTATTTTCTTAGAATTTAATCGACAATAATACTTTACAGTAGAACAGTTTTACAAGGACCTATACCACATAGCCTAGATCCACAATATCCTGATATTTATTTGCGATCGCTGAATGTATCAGCTCATTCATTTCTAACAAGAATTTGAAAAAAAATGCATAATATGGGTGTTCATTATGAATCACTCTTTTTATCATGATGTATAATAAGAAGAGTTGTCCATATTTTTTTCATTTTTTATATACTTGAATTTATTAGGCTATAAAGAGTATAATTCAAGCTCTATAGATAGTGGATCTCTTTTAAATTTAATGTGTTTGTCAACAGCTACTGCAAAATATTAGAAAAAAAAATCTGTATAAAGGATACTGTCAAAGTTTTACTTTTCGGCGATATCTTAATCCTAATATTCTTTAAGGTTTTCTTCTATTTTTATATATTTATTCTTTAGAATTACTATTTTTAAAATCAATTTGAAGGCTGTACTTTTTTTAAAAAAATTTTTGAACCCCTTAACGATTTGTAAATTTTCAAGAAAACGGTCATAAAAGTACCAATTTTTTTGGCTTTTGTATTTGTATTACTTATTTGATTAGTGCTGCAACTAGTTTAAAATAAACTAACTATCTACAATTACCTTAAAACTATCCTGGTACTGCCATCAGGTGTGTAAAATGAGAAATAAAATTTGTTCCGGGCAAAAGAAATGAATTAGTTTTATTCTTATTGTCGCGTTACTACTGAACACTCCAGTCCGTCAATATCACGGGAGCGAGAAATGGCGGACGAAATCTCACCCCGTCATTTTCACGGAATCGAGAAAGTCGAAGTTAAAGTCGTTCAACAGCCGACCTAATTCAGGGTTTACGTATTACAATGTTCATCTCCGTAGCCTTGTAATTTTGATCCCAATCTAGAAGATAAAGGAACACCTGGATCAAGCATTGGGAGAAATTTGCCTTCATGGACGACTTTTTGATTGTACTAACCAGCATTTGCGTTGCATGGAGAGGAAAACTACTAGAACCACCTACGGTTATTCTGACGGCAAGAGGAGTCTAACCCCTTATTTGTCTACCACTGAGGATATTATACGTTAGCACTGTTTTTGGTGCTAGCCGGGTGCGGAATTCGAATCTACCAGCCATCGCTGGGATTTGAACCATTGGGAGACGAGCGATCTAAGTCACCACGATCTGATCTATCCCCTAAACCACCATGGCTTAAGGCTGTATTTTGTAAGGCATCATTGTCATCTAGAGTAGTGGTCCTCAACCGATTTTGATATCTTCTGAGGATGTTTTGGAGCAGGGTACAGGCACTAAATTTTCTGAGATGATTACTTTGTTTAAAAGAATGAGCAAACAAATTACACCGTGAATTTTAATATACAAGGGTTGTAAATTAAATAGTGGCAACTTAACCTTGAATCTCATAGAAGGGTGGGCATGCGCAAACAGAATATGGGAGCGGTAAGGTGGCGCTGTCGTCGATGTGCAGAGTGCAAAAAACAGTCGATTTGCTTAGAAGGGTAGTTGTTGTGTGGCGTTAAAGTTAGAAGTTTCGTTTCCATCGCTCTAAAACATGTTTTCAAAGGGCTTAATGACGAAAAAAGAGGAGATGTTTGAACCCATCGTGCTACTGCTCTATATTGTAAAGCATTTGAGCCACAGGCTTCCACTAGTCCTCGATTGTATTCTGTAACATTTTTGCCACGGCCAACCTCGATTTTAAGCCATGACCGCTGATCACCTTTTGAAAACATGCTTTAGAGCGAGGGAAACGAAACTATTCACTTTAACGCCACACAACAACTACCCTTCTAAGCAGAACGATTGTTTTTAGCACTCTACACATCGACAACAGAGCCACCTCACAGCTTCCATATCCTATTTGCGCATGCCTGCCCTTCTGTGAGTTTCAAGGTTAAGATGCCACTATTTAATTTACAACCCTCGTAATTCTTTCAGTTACGGACATATGTATTTACTTAAAATAATTTTCTTTTTCGATTTTGAAGCATGGCATCGAAATTCATTTCAATTGAACAAAAGTGTATTTTAATTGCTGAATTGTGTAGAATATATCTATTTATAGTGTTGACGGTAGACAATGAATCTACTCTAATAAGATTTGCAAACAACCTTCAGTTTCCGGAAAACGGGACAAACTCTGCATTTTGAGGAATGTATCCTGAATTTGGAAGAATATTGAGAATTTTGAGATTGAAAAGAAACCGTCTCTTTTCCAGTTTAAATTAGATTACTAATACACACAACACAATGACAGCACTATAATTAAGTAGTATATATAGAACGAAAGCGGCGTGATATTATTTCTTTGAAAATAAACATTTACTGAAGTATCAGATAAAAATATAATTGTATTTTTAAAGAAGAAAAGCGTGGATCTCTGTAAAATTTAATGTCAACAGTTATAACAAAATATTTTAAAAAAACTGTATTTTTTCTTTGTAAAAGATATTATCAAAATTTAATTTTTCGGCGATATTTCAATAAAAATATTCCTTAAGTGTTTTCTCCTAAGGTTTCTTATTCACTTATTCTAAGCAGAAACTGGTCAAAACTTCCACTAACGAGACATTCTAATTAGTGATAATATGACAATAATTTTTTAGCGAATAGAAAATGGTTGAAACTTTTGATGTTCATCAAGACAGGAGTGGAACTCCTGTCTGTTATTTCCTGTTCTTTATTCCTGTTCTGTCCTTTTGACATGAGTGGATTTGAGAGCTGTAGCTAGGAGGAAACTGGTCGCAATTGCAGGATCTCATCGTTACAAGCACGAACACGAGTTAACAAAAAATTTCTAATATAGATTTTATTGGTATAATTTTTTATATTTGTTTATACTTATAAACCGGTGCTTACTGACACGCGTCAATGATAATAAGTACAGTTTAAGACAGAAAAAAAAATCACGTGAAACACTGAGAGTGAAAGCTCTAAAAAGTAACGGTCTCTGTTAAAGATTGGAATGTCAAACAATATTTCTTTTAGTATCGAAAGACAAAATCAATTACAATATAAATTTTGTCTTATTTAAGCGAAATCTTTACCTGAAACAACTCAGAATGTTTGGAATAGGAAAATATATGGTTTATAAGATAGAAGTAAAGTAATAAAATTGAAACAGATCATACTAGAAAAAGAAAAATAAGTAAAGCAATGCATCATACGATCTAGAAACGAATCATTGCTATTTACTTTTTGAAATGTGCTACGCTTCATAAAATAAAATAAGAAGTTTTCATAAATATGTGTAGTAACAGTTTTAAGCTCTTAGGCTCAAACATACTGTTTTAATAATTATTCTATTTCATCCTTCATTAGCTCGCTTTTAACAGTAAAGCTGTTTGAAAACTCGAAACATGTTGAACCAATATATATATATATA